CACCCGCTCAGCGGCTCTGTCGTTTACTCACAGTCTCCTGCAGGTGTTGCGAGCATCTGGCACAGCGCGCACGTACACGAGCAGGAAAAATAAAGAGCCGCTTGCTTGTTTCACTGAATGCAAGTGTGTCAATGTTTGTATAGCTGTTGTGTGGTATTGTATCATTTATCTGCAGGGTGATGCCAGTAACAAACCAATAACTGACTGTGTAAAGAAGCATACAATCACCAACCAATATGGGTTAATTATGGGGATATTTCCAGAATGAAAAGCTACCTCTTCAGCTAATCAGATTAGTTTGAAACTGTTCAATTATTTGATAAACATGTTAAAAAATTGCTACATATATTTTGAATTAAATCATTGCTTCTGCTGCAGGACAAATTTGGACACTTGAACAAAAAGTAAAGGCTTTCCTGGTTGAATACTTAAAATTGTTAGTTTTGACATCACATCTATAATGATGACAGAAATATAAATATGTATTTTTAGATGTCACAGTAAATCACATTTTATTTTCTGCAGTCTGTCTTGTGCAGAGAGAAACATAAATTACCTCTATTCCATCTCCTCCATGCCTCCTCTCAGCCTCCTCTTCAGACAGACCAACACAGCCGTACTCCAGGGGGGTGAACACAGTGGTGGCCACCTGGGACACACAAGTACAAACACAATTTTTAATTTGTAATCTTCCAGTACTGAGGTTTTAAAGTTAAATGCCATGCATGTGGTCTGTCTGTGTTTCCTATCAGTAATTACAGATCTGCTCTCTTCCTGGTATCAGCTGTGTTGTATAGAAGATATAACATGTTTTAATCAGATGTCTATATTAGTAAAAGTACATCAAATGCTAAATTCTAAAAAAATATATAAAAAATAAAACTTGTATCTTCCAGGACACAACATATACAGAAAAACCTTCATTTGAACTTGAAGAATGAAAAAGCACATCAGAAATAATGAAGACTGATGAAGAATATGGAAGCTTATTATGCTATGAATCATCCTAAAGAGCAGCTGGCAGGATGATGAAGGGTGGAGGAGGAGAGAGTCCAAGCAAATAACAGCAGAAATGGTCATAAATTTGCCTCAAATGAGACTTAACACAATAAACAAAAAAGGCCACATAGAAGTAAGCTGTTAGGTGAAGGAAGGAAAGTATCATTTTTTGTGTGTGTGTGTGTGTGTGTGTGTGTGTGTGCGTGTGCGTGCGTGCGTGCGTGCGTGTGTGTGTGTCTTACGTTGTCATAGTTCATGAGCTCAGTGCTCTGACCAGCCAGCCTGCGGGCGAGGAGCTTTCCAGCTTTTATGGCCGTTGGGGTCAACTCAGGACGACCCTAAAACAGAAGAAAGCTTTAAAGAGCCTCTGATGTTGAACCCATGTGTTCAACATCAGCAATTAGATCACATGAAATTTTAATGGTGGGAAATAACTAGAATGTTAAGACGATCTTTAATAATATTTAAATTAATAACCATGATGAGAAAACAACAGAAATATATAAATATTTTTGATAATACCATGGATTAGAAAAAATATATAATTTAAGTAAAAAATGAAGAAAATAAAAGTTTCTGTTTTCTGAAAAGAAACTGATCACAATTACGATTAAATATCCAACAAAACAGTCTACATTTTATTTTTACTTTAATTATATGCTTTATTATTTAAAAGTGAGAAACCTACTGTATATTCATTTCACACAAAAAAAGAAAACACTCACATAGGACTACATAGTTCAGTGCTTAGAGGGTTTGTACAAGAAAATGTTTCATTAATTTTTGTACGAGTTTCATTTCTTTGTTTTTAACTTGTAAAACCCCCAATAAAAATACCAATAATTGTTTATTACAGATTTATAATTTCATAAAACTAAAGTTATTATTTGTAGTATTTATATAACATCAAGTTGATATAACTTGATATCAAGCTTCAAGTACATTTTGCAGTACTTTGCAAACTTTATTTAGTCAGAAAAGGAGCATGCATGGATTTTTTGACTGTAAAGGCTGCAGTGTGTGAAATGCATTGTCTTCATTAATGCAAACATTAAGTTTCACTGTTTATTACAAGATCAAAATGTTTCTTTTGAAATCATAGCATACTTAGCATCATGCAAACTTTAAATTTCTTTTTCCATCCACTACATTTAAAAGAAAGTAAAAGATCATTAATCCTTGGAAACAACTTTTTGCCTTGTTAGCTGTAACAGCTGAATATGCAGGAACACAACTGTAGTTAGTAAAACTTTAACTTTTTATTAATTTCAATATATTTGTACTGCAACACTTCTAAATGTAGACAAGTCAAACTACTTAAAAAATATCTGCCTCAGTGCTTTACTGTCTCTGTTACTTTGAACATTTTCCTGCAGACCAATGCAAAGAACATGAAGACACATACACATGTTGTTTTTTCTATCCTCGTGGGGACTTTACATCGACTTCCATTCATTTTTCAGTCCTTTCTATAGCCTAATACTGACCCTTTACCCTAAGCGTAACCACCCCAGTACATACCTGACCCTTAACTTAGCCTAAACCTAATTCACACCTTAGTCCTAAACCTAACCCCCACACCAGGCTTTGGTCCCTGTGACGAGCATTGGGTCTCCACAAGGCTGTGTTTTTCTGGAAAATAGTCCCCATGATGTAGCAAAAACATGTCCCCACACACACACACACACACACACACACACACACACACACACACACACACACACACACA